GCAGGGCAATTTGAAACAGGCTCCGCACATCACAAAACAAGAGCTGGAGGCGTGGAGGAACCTCAATCCGGAATTGAAGCGTCGCCCTGTTCACACTGAGAGCATGCGGCTGCCAGTCAAGAAGAAGCTCAAGACGAGCCATGATGGACACTTAATGCCGGGATTCGACGAATACACAATAGATGAGCGGAGGGAGGCGCTCAAAGCGACGGAGTCCGGTGCTTCTGCCATGAAGGACGTTCTATGGAGGATTGACCGGCGGAAGCGCGAGCGACTGGCGATAGAGTTGCAACAATCTGAAGTCAAGGTGGAGGTCTTGCAGCAACGTCTCGCTGCCGAAGAGATCAAGAAAGAGAAGGGAAAGATGGGGACGGTGGCCTTGCAGATGGACGATGGGATTGCCCAGAAAACGGGAAGGACGAACGTGTTGGCCTTGAGAACGAAGAAGAGAAAACTGTCGACTTGAAGAGCATGAAGTATCCACGTGGCGATATGGCAGACCTGGAGAGTTGGGAAAATGGGATGGAGGCTGGGTGTCACAGCGGCCAGGTTCGTGGAGCAGAATAACAAGTACGTGGCTGAGCATGTGGAGATCACCGCAACTGGAAGATGGGAACGTCCAGGTTGCATGGTTATGATGCGGGTTTCAAGTCAAAAAGTGATTTCAGAGTGCGATCTCATACTAGCGTTAGTAGAGGCACTACAAAAGTTTGATGAACCTACCTTAAATGACCATGACTTGATGTGATCATCTCGACGCTGTACCTACCCCTTTAAATCGCGTTGCTGTTCTACAAATAGTTTCTTAGACTCTGATCAAAATGTAGATAGTGCGGCGCTGACAAGCCCCTGCTGAAGATACTTTTCGATCATGGGAACAAAGTCTAGGCATTGTCCTTCGGTCCCGCGTCTGGTAATTCTAGGGGTCGGCCAGGAGGAGCAGTCCCTTGACTCGCATTCTTCCCAGGCTAGTGAATATGTTATCTTATATCGATGAATGACATTTCAGTGAATAGGTGTTTTGCCTGTGCACGGAGCACTTCTTTTTGGTCAATGAGTCAAGTCCCCCAGTACCCTCCCCCGCTATTCATATCCCCATTGCCACCGCTAGGAACCAGTAAAGCTCCTTAAAGATCTCGTTATCTCTAATTCTCACCTTGTAGTGTACGGTTGCGGTACGCAGGAGTTGACTCCATCATTCGAGATCGCTCGCTCGGTAAGTGTACAGAAGGCCTCGACAAGTGGAGGATACCTTCCCGCTGAACTCAAGGGTTTACAAATAAGCCCAGAGATCAGTCTCAAGGCTAGCCGTCGCCGAGAGTATCACCAACAATATGTCGGACTACGATAGCATGTAAGTTTTCTCCGATTGCCATTTCTCGATCATAGCTAACTCCATACTAGCACCCAACTCAACCAAGAGAACTCGCCCCTCCTTCAACTCCCAGCAGAGCTTCGAAACCGGATCTACAAGTTCGTTCTGCACGATCACCGCCCCGTATACGTCGATATACCCGCTCTGAGCGATGAGTTCGGAAACTTTGGCCCTAGAGACAACACACGGGGAAAGCAAGCGCTTCTATGCACATGTCGTCAAGTCCACAGCGAGGCCCCGATGATGTATTTCGCGCTCAACACATTCCAATTCGACCTTGACACCTCGCTCATCGAATTCACTAGGAGTCTCACTGCGGAGCAACTCAGCGCGGTCAAGTCTATCGATATGACGGGACAGCTTATGGAAGAGATTGAGATGCGTGCCGAGCATCATAAGAGCGACAGCCCGCGATTGCACCTCGATACGCTGACCTCGCTGCAAAAGGTATCCCTCTACCCTTACGCGTTCCGCTCAACGCCAATAAATCTCGATGTCATTGGAGTTTATCTAAGGGAGGCGACTGGTAGAATGGGTCTGGAGGTCATAGAGGTCAAGAGGAGTTCGAGGTCCAGATCCTGACAGAGCCCTTGATGAGATCCTCCTTGGTAATACCACCGAATGCGTCTTTCCCGTTCAAAGAATCGAGGCCCTTGGGTGCGGAAAACTTCTGGACTCTGCATGTAGTCTGGCAAGGGCCCTTCTCCTGGGGCTCACACTTGCATACTCTAGCATCGCCGTCAGAACTGGCAATATAGTACATCTTGCCCTCGAAGCACGTTCCAGTAGCCTTCATGGTATCGTCGATGTTGTCGCCATCACAACCGTCACCGGAGTCGATGATGAAGGGTTAGGCCTTAGAAACGCTCCAAAGGTTTGGGATAGCGAAGCCAAGTACGGAGTCTGGAAATTGGCACGGAGATCATTCTCGCTCATAGGGTTAGGAAATCTGTCGCTACCATGGACGTCCTTGGACTCTGCGCCAAGGATAAGCTTTCCATCCGTGATGATGTCCCCACTTAAAATAGGAGTGCAAGTCAATCGATCAGCCACCGAGTGAGTGTGTACTATGTAACTGTGAAGATCTTCACACCATCATGTAGCCAAATGCACCAAATGCGGCCACCAATGCTGCCGTACCTCCACCAATTAGTCGCTGTGCAGTGCTCTTCTCGTCAGTTGGACAAGAATTTCCAGGCTTTCGAGTCGCCTGGCAATGGAGCGAGGTCATGGATGCAGAGATGTTCGAAGCAGCAGCCGCATCAATCTTGACGTTGCAGGGAGTTGGGGCCGGTGTAGTGGCTGCCATAGACGCACAAGTCTTTCCGTCATAATCCTCCCAGGTGATAAAATCAGGGACCGCCAGGGTGGCGTCGACGTTGATGGCAACTGCTTCATTGTCGGTGCAATCTCGGTTCGTTGTGGCGGCTACGAGATCTAATTCTGGTGCGGAACTCTTGATGGTGAAGAATGTGGAGCGACTCGTGCGGTTGGCTGCGAGACCACCTCCGAGGAATGCAAGCGAGTCCTCGGTGCAACTGTTCCAGCCCACGTCCAAGCGAAGCGCCCACACGCCCTCTTCGGTGAAGTTCGAAAGGATCTTGACCTCCTGATAAGGCTCACTGCCGGAGAAGTTCGCCCATCTTAGGTGGTAGAACAGGTCTCTGCTAGCTTGTGTTTCCACGTTCGTGACCGTCACGTCTAGCGTAGGATTCAAGAATCGCCCTAGGTCGGGGTTCTGGATGGCGACGATGACTGGAAAAATTTGCGTCGCGGCGTAGGTCTCGTTGCGAGGAAAGACGAGGTCCACCTCTAGCATGCCGGAGGCTGCGTTGACGGCTCCCGCGCAAGCAGCGAGGAGTAAGGCGACCAGCATGCGGACGCCAAGCAGAGACGGTAGATAGGTGGCTGAGGAATTGGGGGCGAAGGTGCGTCGATGTAGTTGTAGACCAGAAGGAGACAGTCGAGAAGTGGAAAAAATATAAGTGGAAGATTTAGGTTACATTGAGGATCGATAGAGTGAATGCAAGGTACCTTGCTGAAGGCGGAAGGCGGCCTATCAAACGACCGTGCAACAATGCTAGCGGCTAATACGTCAATACGCCCCCTTGGCATCCACGCCTTCGCCTCCACTTCCGTCGCGCGAGCCGCGTTCTTGCCGTTCCTCATGTCCACTTCCGGTCCGTTCAGGTCGTGCTCATGGGGAAGCCACGTTCAACGGACCCAAACAACTCAGCTTTAGAGAGGTGACCCAAGACGAAAACACCACACCCACGCGCAGCAACAGTATAGACGAATTGTACAATGAGCTTGCTGCGCAGTGCAACTCAAGGGACTTCAACAACGAGATTGTCTGCCCAGTCCACCTGATCTTCTTTATTCCTCACTCTACTTCCCTTGTCCCTTTGCTTCCTCGTCTTACTATCGCGTGTACCTTCTCTTACAACCTCCTCTAGGATTTCTCTCCCTTCGTCATCCTCGCTAATCAGCTTCGCAGCGAGACTGAAAAGCACAAGTAGCGTCCACGCAGCATCGTTCCCGCAATCGTGCAACCTTGTAGGTATCATACCGACCAGGCGACATAGCGTTCGGAGCGATACATTCCATCCAGGATCGTCAGGCTTGTACATCTCGCGAGCAAGCTTCTGCGTGTCGATGATCGCGGTCACGGTGGCTATGTCAGTTATGCTGATACCCGCCTTGTTCAACGAGAGAAGATCCGAAGGGATGTCGTGGCCAACAAGGATAATCGGCAGTCGCTGTTCGTTTGAGTCATTGACTTTCGATAAGTCATACAGAGGTAGCTTGCGCGCATTACAGCACGGCTCCTTGTCTCCATTGGCGCAGTGAGAAAAGATGTGGTTGAGGACGGCAGCGCGCTCGCTCCATCGCACTTGGTGCACTTGGCCATGGAACAAGGCCTGCAATTGCTTTCTATTCACGCCTACTCGGCCGTACCGGAAGTCGAAAGTCTCTGTGTGGAGGGGCGGGTGAGTATGGTGCATCGGTGTTGAGAAGTGTGAAGTTGTGAGACTCCTCGTGTCGAGTGTGGATGCGTCGATAGCGCTGAAGCGCTTGGGGTTTCCGTGTGCGATATCGAAGGAAATGAATACGGGGTGTGCGTGAGAATTGGGGTTGTCGTGGTTGCGTGCCAAAAGCTGCTGGAACAGGCAGCGCACTTCTTCAAGTGAGATTGGGGGAGGAAACATGGCTTTGAGAGTACTGATTCTTGCTGTTAGGGTCACTTCGGCTGAGCTGGGATTGACTGTCGTGCAAACAATAGAGATGGACATCAATTACAAAATATACTCTCCTTTGACTCACCATTTGGCCGCAGCCATACTTTGGTTCCCTTACCCTGGTTCTGTGGTAACCATGGGCGGACGACAAACCAATCACAGCTTGTGCAATTCGCATTTGGAAAGTACAGATGCACAAAGCTAGACAACCTCGATAATTCGGTGTCTTACTACGACACAACACTTTTCAATTGAGAGTATCTCTGATATCATATCCTTCATAAGGGTCATAAGCCCATACCGAACAAAAACGCCATCTATCCATATGTGCTCATAAAAGCTACTTTTCTCCACCCGGTACACACTCATGGCACTCAGAGTAAGATCTACTGAGCAGCCGGCGCAGCGTTGTTGGAAGCCTTTCCGTTCGTGATCTTAGGACCAACAACCGCCTCCTCAAGCGCACGTTTGACATCAGCAACAAGATCCGCCTCATCCTCAACACCACAGCTGATGCGGACGAGATCGTCGAAGACACCCGCCGCCTCGCGCTGCTCCTTGGGGATACCGCCGTGCGTCATGGCGCTGGGTACCTCGACGAGCGACTCGACTCCACCCAGCGACTCAGCCAGTGTGAAGATCTTGGTCGCTTGACAGAAGCGCTCTGCAGCTGCGTGACCGCCCTGAATACGGAAGGAAAGCATGCCGCCACCCATTCCGTCACGGTGCTGCTTCAGCGCAATATGGTGTTGTGGGTGGGAGGGGAGACCGGGGTAGTTGACGGAAACGACGTGTGACGAGGCCTCGAGAGCCTTCGCGACGCCCGTAGCGTTCTTGGTCGCTTCCCTGGCGCGGAGATGCAGCGTCTTGAGACCGCGGTGTGCGAGCCAGCAGTCGAAGGCCGAGGGAACGGCACCAATGGCGTTCTGGAGGAAAGACAGACGCTCGTATAGCTCATCGGAGTTGAAGGCCGCAGCGCCCATGACGACGTCAGAGTGGCCGTTGATGTACTTTGTGACGGAGTGCACCACGATATCCGCGCCGTGGTCCAGCGGGTTCTGGACATACGGGCTCATGAAGGTGTTGTCGACAACCACCATGATGCCATGTTGATGCGCAATCGTGGAGATCTTGCGGATGTCCACCAGTGTCAGCGTAGGGTTCGACGGCGACTCAATCCAGATGAGCTTTGTGTTGGGGCGGATAAGCTCGGCGATGTCGATCTCGATGCTCGGGCTGAAGGTGACTTTGACATCGTGTGTGAGGGCTACCTTGGTGAAGTAGCGGTGCGTTCCGCCGTAGACATCTGAGACGGACACGACGTGTGAGCCTGCGGCGAGCGATTGCAGGATGTTGGCTGTGGTGGCGGAACCGGACGAGAATGCGAGCGCATAGCGGGCGTGTTCAAGGGCTGCGACCGCCTTTTCAAAGTTGTCTCTGCAGGCGCATTAGTATTAGACCTGTGGGTGGTGTTGCGCATGCGTACCGGTTTGGGTTCGAGGAGCGCGAGTACTCATACTCGCCTATGGGCTTTCCAACGGCGGTTTGCGCGAATGTTGTCGACAGAGAAATCTGATTGGGTTAGCCATGGGTCTGTGAGACTTTGCGCGTGCAATGCTTACGGCTTCGATGACAGCTCCGGTGACGGGGTCATGAGGGCTTCCGGCATGCACGGCGAGCGTGCCGAATCCGTGGACTGGTGACGGCGCGCGTGGCGGGGTGTCGATAGGGTGGTCGGGGAGCGTCATCTTGATCTTCTGAGTACTCTTTGAACGGCGGGCGGAGTTGACGCGGTGGTACGAAGGAACTTGAACCTCGAAATGCAGCGAGAGGACAAACTTCTTTCTAAATTTCAGGCCCTCCGAGGTGTTGACGCCTATAGGTAAATTATTGTTCTAGCGACAAATCCTAGCGCGCTTTCTATCGGTGGTGCATGTGCGGTTGACCGTGATGGCGCGAATGCAGAATAATTCTTTCTTGCAGAATTTCCTGTCAAAGTGGAGATGGAAAGCAAGGGAGAACCATCTCCATGGCTCCTGCCATCTTATACCCAACAGGTCGCGTTGGACGTCTGACATTTCTCAGCAGCAGATTAATCAGGCGGCGTTTGCTCAAACCGTGGCATACACAGCTCGGCCCAAAGCGCGCGTTGGTTTCGTGAGCAGGCGGAGATGGTGTCATAGTATTCTCCGACCCGCCTTGTGACGGCCTTGGCAGCTTTTCGATTACACATCGCGCTGCGAGTGCTACCAAGTCCAGCAGGTTGTTCGGGCGAGATGCTTCATAGAGTTTTTGGATACGTAAGCACAATTTAACGTTGGCGCTCAATGGCAAGTGATTTACATCGTAATCTGATTGAAGTGGAGAGAGGTCTACATATGAAGGGCGCAAACGTCTATGGGTATCTTGGGGGTATAATGGTGATGCTTAGTATGCATCCTCCTCTGGCCGGCTCTTAAGCTTCACATATCCACTTATGCCTTTCTTTCGCGCTGCCTGCTCGCTATGAGAGACATGTCCCGTCTGTGATGGTGAAGACTTTCCGTTCCTCGTAGTCGACGTGAGGTAGCTACGTCCATCGTCGAGGCCGGTGTTACCTCGCCGTTTCTCACCAACAAGAATAGGGTCTTCCGCGATCAAGTTCTCCATGTCTTCCCATTCTTTCTGGTTCAACACGTCCCATTCTTGCGCCTGCTGCTCAGCCAGCAGATATCCCCTCAGCTCGTCGATAATCTTAGTTGGCGACAAGCCCCATCCGCTGATGTACTGTGCGTTCTCGGCCATGCCTAGGAAGGCATGTGAAGTAGCGTGAGAAAGCTGCCCAAAGCCTACAGGTGACTTGCGGAGAATCGATCTGGAAGACCTGGAAGTGGTGATATCTTTGTCCAATGGATTCTCGAGGCGTTGGGGATTGTATGTTTCTTGCGTGATCAGTAGTCGGAACAGATTGCGACCGATCGAACAAGTATCCTCCCACTGCTTAAAGCTGTCTTTCATGCCCTGTGTTCGACACAGCCAAGCCACATTGTACGCAAGCAGAGACACGCCTTCAATAAAGGACGAGTATGCAGGAGGATCTTCGGCGCAGAGGTGACTCAAAGGGCGGTCGACGAATAACGCACGCGGCTTCGGAAGATGGATACGCGTCTCAAGCGTTCGGGACGCTTCCGGACTGGCGCTGGAAGAATGTGAGGGTGTCGAGCCAGGGAAAGGTACTTTCTTGCCCTGGTAAGAGGATGCTGGACTGAAGATTGTAGGTTGAGGGTAATCGGCATGGGGGAGTGTGATTTCGGCTGGGAGACGGATGCCCAGGTAAGCAGCGACTCGAACGACGAGCTGGGCCACGGCAGCCAGTGACGCAGATAGGCCATCAGGCGTCACATCTGTTTCAAAGTTAGCACATCACCTCGAGAGGTATAGCCTAGACATACCATTCAGATCTCGAAGATCGTATATCCGCAAACGCGTGCCGGGCCCGATATTGTAGACTTCTTTAACACCGCCGTCCCTTGTCTTTCGGCGCTGCATCTTGAGTCCCGCGAGCCTCGCAGCAGTCGTGCATAGCTGCATGCGCAGATCTATGGTATCGTGGTGCATCTTGTCTGCGTTGTAGTCCGACCGCTTGACCCTCTGCTGCACCTTGTCCAACTCGTTCGCCCGCCGCGATTCGATGCCGTATGTGGCGGACGAGAGGTCTGACTTGCGTTGCGCGTTCGCCGCTCGCTTCGCTTCAAGCTGCTTCCTGGTATCCTCCATCTGCCGTCGGAGCTGGTCGGCATGCTCTGATATCATGCCTAGTCGGTCCTGTATCTCTGCCGTTTCTGCTTTCGTCCGCTCCCAGTTTAGATTGTTCGTACACTCTTGCCTGTCGACCAAGAGCCCGCCTTTCGAGTCGGTGAGAGAAACATGCTGGATGGCCTTGTCTTCCGAGCCGTTTATGATAGCTGTGACGTGTTTCGCGACGGCATCGCGGTCTATCAGCGTCTTTGCGAGTTGGATGCGGGGCTGTTCGAGGTATGAGCGCGCGCAGGTCATGCAGTGGAGAGGTTGGCTCAGGCTGCCGTCTCTCCCGCAAATGTCGCACTCCATGATGAGTAGAGGTTATGTTATGTGATGTCGCCTGCAGAAATGCCGTGGAGTGGTAGGTCTGGAAGGTGCAGCGAGACCATGGTGGGAGCGATTCGTCGAGGCGGTTGGCGAGTGCCTATGTAGCCATGGGATCCGTCAGTGGGGTTTCCGGTGAATGTCTAGGCTCCGTGAGTGTTAGCGCTCTCCTCTGTCGTGAAGCATAAGCAAGGCATCCAGAGGCTGGTGGTTGAAGAGGTTGTGTGATGGAGGCGGTACTCAGGCAGAGGCGCGATTTCGCGAGTCAGACGCTCCTTCCAACGTCATGCCGCGACTGACCAATTCGGATCGCGCTAACGCACGTGGTATACGTGAGTGAACCTCAATCTACCTTTTCGAGTTCTGCATTTGATCTCATAGAACTGACATTTCGCGTCGAATATCCTCCTGATGACGATGAGACGCGCTCGCGATCACTCTACTTACCTACAGCACTGACCAAAGGCATCGCAAATGAGCAGGACTCCCGACCACGAACCCGAATCATCCCTCCCCTCTCACGTCTCGTCGACATACCCCTCTTCTCCTCCACTACTGACCCAGTTAACAAATACCACCGCAATGGATACTGCCCCGGCTGCCAAATCGGAGCCGCCACCCAGTCAAGAGGCTCAGACTGTACGACCGCCAATGAGACGCATGCATTCAGATGAGACAGAGCGGCCATCTTCAGCACAGCGCACGAAAGACGAGGTCGACGACGAGGCAGATGCGGCCGCTGAACAACAGTCAGAAGATGAAGAGAGCGATCCTGCAGAAAAGATTGTCGATTTTGATTGGGAGGACCTAGAGGCGCGGTACCACGATGCCATGAAGACATGCCACAACGAAGAAGACCTACTAATGCAAGAGTGGGACAATCTCATGAATGTACAGCTGCCTCTTCGCTACTTCTGCCCGAGTTACTGATGAAGTTGTTAGTACTTCCGCATCTGGGCCTCGTCAGGGAATGAGCATGAGACGGAGCGGACATACGCGAGGTAAACATGCCTTCTACAAGTCGCGTGACCTACTAACAACGTGCCTCAGGCTTCGCACTCGCTCGACATATGTTCAGCACGAGGAAGCGGAATTGGAGCAAAAGCGGAATCATTGTATGCTGGCCTTTACTCCATCTCATGCTTGTTTACTAATATGCCGCAGACATCAATGTAGTCAAAGCCTTCGAGAGTGCGCTCAACCTCCTCAAAGCCAGTGGCCTTGGTCGTTGATGCTCATCAACTTAGGCGCTATCTACCTTGCTCATCATCCGCCGCAATCAGAAGTCTCACAGCGTCTCGCTGGCCCTGATAGCTCGTCGCCAACCCCGCGGCAATTGGTGCGGTTGTCCAGCCTTCCAATGTGCATTTCATCGAGAATGCACCTGATGCGCTGTTCCATCATGTAGGATGTCGTTGGCACCAGAATGGTCATGTTGGAGCAGAAATAGTCGCAATAAACGGTACGCGGTCCATACATCAGTTGAAGACATTCATTGCCAGGTGTCTGCTCTATCTAAAACCCTAAATCGACCGCTCAAGATTCTATATCAAATGCACCGCCTTTTGCCGAAGGTCTATACATGGTGCCCGTGCCTTCCATATATGCGCTAAACAATGAGACGCCCATGCCCTTTCATGCGAGTTATTCCAGAAAAGGTCCAAATATGGTCCAAGTTTGTGATGGTGATGTTGTGGTGCGTGTTTCGTCTATAGAAGAGGGTTGGAGCGGTACTCGGGGACGACGCCGTTTGTTTGCGACTTCTCAGCCTGGTTCTCCGTCTCGAGCTCGTTGCCGACGCTGTCGTCTTGCTCGGCGAGCCACTTCTCCGCCTCAAGAGCGGCAATGCAGCCAGATCCTGCACTGGTGATGGCCTGGCGGTACCGCTTGTCCTGGACGTCACCGGCCGCGAAGACACCCTCGACGCTTGTGAGACCCTCTCCGGGCTTGGTGATCAGGTAACCGTCCTCGTCCATGTCGAGCTGACCCTTAAACAGCTCGGTGGCGGGGTCGTGGCCGACGGCGTAGAAGAGACCCTTTGCGTCGAGGGTCTGCTCCTCCTTTGTGACGTTGTTCTTGACCACTAGTTGTGTCATCAGACCGTTCTTCTTGTCCTCGCCCTTGATCTCGCTTGCGCTGGTGTTGTACATGATCTCGATCTTGGGGTGCGTTGTCAACCGGCGGGCGTTCGTTCGGCTCGCGCGGAGCTGGTCCCTTCGTACGAGTACGGTAACCTTTGACGCCTTCTTCGTGAGGTATAGAGCCTCCTCTACTGCCGAGTCACCGCCTCCGATTACGACCAATGGCTGGTCGCGGAACATGGGAAGGGAGCCATCGCATACAGCGCATGCGGAGACACCGTTGCCCCAGTACTTGTCTTCGCCCTTGAGATCTAATCTCCTGGCCTTTGCGCCGGTCGCGATGATCAAAGCATCAGCAGTGTGTATCTCCTCCTCAATCTCCTCCTCGTCGCCCATGGGGTGTAACCAGTACTTGAAGGGGCGCGCTTTCAGGTCCACCTTTGCGACGGTCTGGGAGATGATTTCGGTACCGCAGGCTTCGGATTGTTCGCGCATTTGCTCCTGTGTTTTGTTAGTAAACATTGGCGCATGGCTATCGCGTGGCGTTACTGACCATGAGCTTGCCGCCTCCGATCTTGACGAAACCGGGGAAGTTCTCGACTTCGTCTGTTGTGGTTAACTGACCACCTGCGGCGATACCGAGAGCCATGAAACCCTCGTACATGACGGCTGCACATCATTAGCATGTCGTCGAAGCGATTGCGAGGCGGTGCCTTACGGTTCAGATCCGCTCGTGCGGCATAGATAGCTGCGGTATGGCCTGCTGGCCCCGAGCTGCGTATGTTAGCATTATTCTCGAAATCGACTCTGTCGCGCCATTGATCGCAGAACATACCCAATAACTGCATGTTGTTAGCACTATCCATGCCAAGAATTTACAGGATGCCACTTACTGACTAGTTTTGAATGCATGTTTCGCGACTGTACTTTTGCAAAGGTTGAAGCAGTCGAAAGCCCCGCTACAGGTGAGACGCGCTGATTATGCGATGCCGCGGCAGCGATGGGGACGGAGAATAAGGATAGATTGCGGGGGGAGGAGGCCCTTCGGAAGATTGATGCGAACACTTTGGCGGCGTGTGCGAAAGTTTCGCGTGTCGCGTGCAAGATGTGGTTGCGGGCGTGTGGGTCGTGTGTGGATGGTGCGATGCGATGTGGAGGTTTAGCAACGGAGTGCGAGCGGTGCAGATGGTGCCTTAAGTGGGAGAGACCAGGTGACGGAGAAGGAGCTGGAAAAACGTTTTTGACGTTGCCGCAGCGGGTTTGCGATTAGTGGGCGTCGTCTTCTAGCTTCGGAGGCTCCGCGATATTTGGGGAATGACGGCGAGCCGAGGCGTGGTGGGGTTTTCGAGATGCAGATCGTGCTCAACTATGCGTCGCAGTCAATATATATGCAATGCGGTATCAAAATGAGGATAGCACGTTGGAGAATGAAGAGGAAGAGAGCAAACACACCTTATTTGCAAATGCAACACATGTCAGACGTTGGGAGATTTCTGCTTGGAAAGAAAAAAAGTCGGCTGCTTGCTGTCGATCTACGCCATCGCCGGCCGGGCTGTCATTCTTAGAAATCGACCTGTACTAGACCCACGTTCCACGCAGCCCACCCATCTTGCCCATCTCGCGTTTAATGTCCGGTGCTGACATGCTTATGCTTGACTCGAGGCGACTTCTGCATCACGAGCCTCGGCAAAGTTCATAAGGAGCCCCGTCCGAAATGTCGCGACTTCGTCCGGTGCTGAGGCGTAGTCTGGGGGCGACTGTTTGTATGATTACAGTTCATGCAGGTTCTGGAGTCGCACGCGTCGCGCTTCACTTTCTGTCTTCGTATATCGGCCCCGCGCTTGGGGGTGAGCACTACTAGTCCATTGTGCGCGTCTAACGCTGCTATCTAATCCTCCGCGCCTGGACGCTTCCTGAGGTTCTCCACGTTGTAGAGCATGTCCCGGACTGCTTTGTCATCTGCAAGTCGGTCGTCACCACGTTGCTCGAAACTCTTCAATGTCTCTGCGAGCTCTGCATCTGCATGCCATGTACCGTCTTGCTGTCTTGCGAAGTATTGCAGCCTTGGTACCTGTTTGATATGTTAGCTATCATTTATGAAGTACTTCTGAGCAAGAAGCTTACCGTGTCTTCCCGAACTTCGGTCGTTGAGCCTGGCTTCTGGATGTTGTCTATCGAGACAGCCACCTTCAATGGACCAGTAGACGTGCGGATGATGGCAAGGTCGAGCGCGTTTCCGTCCAGTGGGATGGCATTGCCTGGTACGGATGCACCTAGTCCGAAGCTGAACAACGCTGGTACTCCCTCGCATGCCACAACAACTACTTCGGCCTATCAAGAGTCAGATGATGGATAAACAAAGTCAACGTCTTCGTGATACTTACATCGTCCTTGTTTGGTAAATTCCATATCCCAGAAACCGCAACCTTGCACGTTGCCATATCTACTCCTTCTGGGATCATACCACGCTCCTGGAGATGGGTGAAAGCAAGATCACGGATGGCTAATTTCTCCTTCAAGAGATAGTTCTGCCAATCCCATACGAACAAGTGATCGTCACCACCGCCAGACACAAGTAGACCAGACTGAGTAAGGCAAAGCCTGCTCACGAACGCTTCGTGGCCGAAGCAGAAACCCTCAATAATATGTGCTTGCGGTGGGCCTCTTGATATCCTGATGTGTTCGTCCCGATCCGCTGTCATGATATAGCCCCGACCAGCTGCGTTTGCATAGACGACATCTGTGAGCATAGAGACGTGGCCAAGGAGCAGCTCGTGCTTGAATCTCATAGTCTCTTTGGGCTTCGCCGGGCCTTTCGCTTTCCGTCTCAGCTGCTCCTCAAGAGTCTTTCGATTCCTGCCAGAGTGAACAGTGAGAGTAGTAGCGGAAGGGATCCATTCTTTCTCATCGGCCTCTTCAGTTGCTGGTGCCTCGGGCAACTCTTCTACCTTGTCGTCATCAGGCGAAGGGAGAAGTGGTAATGCATAGACATCGCCAAACTTGTCTGCACACAATATGGTTGTGTCGTCAGACGTGAGGGTAATTGAGCAAGGCCGTCTTGACATGCACCTTGATCATGTCAATTTTCGAAACCCTCAATAGCGTGCGCCTCTTACCTTTCACTCAACTGGTGCAGCTGGCTCTGAGCATCGATTTGGAAGACGCGAACACATTTATCTTCTCCAGTGATGCCAACCAAGTATTGTCCATCATTTGAAAGGATAAGACTGGCAAAGTTCGACTTTTGCTCTTTCGGTTGTTCCAATTTGATGCGTTTTCCTGGTCGCTCTTCGGAGTCGCCCTCCTGCTGATCCTGCTCGTATTAGCGATGCGCAACTACTTCGACCACCAATCGAACGCCACAACATTGACAAATCACAACAAGTACGCCATCACTCACTTCAATTTGGGCGTCTTGCTGTGGCCATGTCGTCACTGACCCGCGGCTGGACTGAACTACAATCTTGGAGCCACTCGCAGCAAACACAGTCCAGTCATCTGAAGACTCAGAGCTTCGCGCTACAATGCGCTGGTACGGAACAGTCATGATGTTTGCGTTGGACACTGCCTCGTGGAGTTGATGGTACTTTTCTGTGAGGCCCCAAATGCGCTAGCGCGTTAGGCGAGCAGGGGCCACCCACAGCAGACAACCTCGATTTTCGCCGGCCGAACTTTCCCTCTCTTCCTCAAACCATCAACAACACCAAACTAAGACCTTAAACATCCCTTTGGGTCGCAGAACACAATGGGGGGCAAGAAAGAAACCAAGGCCGCTTACTTCGAGAAGCTCGAACAGCTCCTCAAGGAGTACAAGAGCATCTTCATCGTCACCGTCGACAATGTCTCGTCCCAGCAGATGCACGAGATCCGCCAGTCGCTCCGCGGCGAGGGTGTCGTTCTCATGGGAAAGAACACCATGGTCCGCCGTGCTCTGAAGGGTCTCATCAACGACTCTCCCGAGTACGAGCGTCTCCTTCCCCACGTCAAGGGTACGTCTTCCAACAGACGCGACACTCGCGCACAGCACTGACAATAGTACAGGCAACGTCGGTTTCGTCTTCACCAACGCCGACCTCAAGGAGACCCGTGACAAGATCCTCGCCAACCGTGTCGCTGCTCCCGCTCGTGCTGGTGCCGTCGCCCCCGGCGATGTCTACATCCCCGCCGGAAACACGTAAGAACACGTCCTGCGCACACACATCGTACAAATAACTGACACATGGCAGTGGTATGGAACCCGGAAAGACCTCTTTCTTCCAGGCTCTCGGTGTCCCCACCAAGATTGCCCGTGGTACCATCGAAATTACCTCCGACTTGAAGCTCATCGAGGCCGGTAACAAGGTCGGTGCCTCCGAGGCTACCCTGCTCAACTTGTTGAACATCTCGCCCTTCACCTACGGTATGGGTATCTACCAGATCTACGACAACGGCCAGACCTTCGAGGCTTCCGTCCTGGACATCGAGGAGTCCCAGCTGCTCAAGGCTTTCTCCTCTGCCATCAGCACCATTGCCGCCATCTCTCTGGCCTCTGGTTTCCCCACCCTGCCCTCCGTCATGCACTCCGTTGTCAACTCCTACAAGAAGGTCATCTCTGTCGCCATTGAGACCGACTACGAGTGGGAGGAGATCGCCGAGCTCAAGGACCGCATCGCCAACCCCGACAAGTACGCCTCCGCTGGCCCTGCCGTCGGTGCTACCTCCGGTGGTGGTGACGCCCCTGCCGCCAAGGAGGAGGCCAAGGAAGAGGAGAAGGAGGAGTCTGAGGATGACGACATGGGCTTCGGTCTTTTCGACTAAGCTACTCACGTTTGCGATGACATTTCTTGAGAGATATCGGCATGACTACGGTCTGTCGAAGCACGTCTTCATGATATAGACAGTCAACGACAATACGATCAGATGAACTCATTCAGACACCATGCCGTGATGCTCACAAAGCATCTTCGTCAGTACACTCTCAGGTAAGCCTACTCCCTCCTCATCTCGCGCCGCTATGATTATTTTCTTTTTAACCCTGAGACCCCTCGGTGAGGATCAAAATACAACAACAACACTCTAATTTTTTAATGAGCAACCTGTCTTTCAAGTCACTCGTTCGTTACCATGGCAAGGCTCGAGACTGACTTTCCAACAGATATACCACTAGCTTGTGCACCTCGATATGCTGTGAAGAGGTGATGCGCACCATCTGACCGCAGCTCAGACAGCCTTTGCAGGATGACCCGCCCTACCTAGGTCTATCCGCACCCAAAAGCACCTCCAGAGCGGCTTGCCTCCTAAGCTTCGACAAACGCTTTCACTTTGCGCATTGCCCAAGTATACGTCCGCGTGTGACCATGCATTGCCGTCGTCGTCTACTGCTAACCCTGGGGCATACTGTCGAAACAGCTTCGCTGCAACGGCCTTTGCTACCCCCTTTCCTCGATGTGCTTCTTCTGTATGTAGCGTAACAAGAGAACCATCTAAACCGAGAAATGTCCACGCTACTGCTGTGTCTGTCTCTTCTTCAAAAACACCCACACTCTTTAGTGACATGAGTGTCTTCGTCGTCCTTGGAATAGACGTCCTGGCTTTGACGACATCGATATCCTGCTCGCGCATCTCACCCCACCGTAATCCCTTGGGTAGCTCTCGCGTCTCTGGAAGATCAGAAAGCTTGAACAAGAACTTGTTCAGCTCTGCGTCGGGGCCTGGAAGCTCGGTGCGCAAGACTCCTGCTTCGCGGAGGATCTCGACTACATCGCGGTGGCATGCACCCAAAGTGACTACTTGGGGCATGAGAAGATGTCGCATATATGTTCCTGGTGAGGATTCGTATGCGCCGGATGCTGGTGGGGTTGGGTAGTCTTTCTCGTGTTGCTTTGCCAGCTCCAGAGCAGGTAGATTATCGGAACGCATTGGTGGAGTAGGAAGTGTAGCCATATATTCTAGTAATGCCAATATCGCCTTCTTGCTCTCTTGACGAAACTCCGGTGTTGCATTCGAGTGATGTGGCTGTTCTGCGTTACTAAAGATCCAAAGTTCGGTCTCTGGGCGCATGGAGCGATCGAGGTAGGCCGCTGCCCAGCATTCTGGTATTTCAGTGGCTGACGGTGAGAATGTGGCGAGTATGTGGGCGTGTTCGGTTCGGTTTGGGTGCTGGATTCTGTAGACGAGATTGACACTGTAGGGTAGGGCGGTTCTTAGGGCGCGCCGCAGGATGGGGGTTGAGGCGGGGTGCTCGTGGACTTGCATTTTCGGCTTTTCCAGCAGGAAGGGATGAGATGGTACTTTCGCAAGCGAGGATCACAGCTGAGATGGTAAGAGAGTCAAATATCTTTTGGGTGGGCTTTGTTATGACGAAGTCTTCATGTTATGTACCTTCCCTGATGGGAATGATTGATGACTAAGATCTGTTTCTTCAGCGCGAAGCTTCTCAAGCTTCACCAAGCTTCTTCCGTTCACATCCTACCACGCTCAAAGCCTCAAGGGAAAAGAGGTACAAAAATCAAAATGATTGTACTCGCGAATGTAACAAACTTTCCTGACATAGATCCTCAATTTGACCTCGGAGCCGACTAGCGCCTCCACATCCCGCTTCGTCTTCTTCGCCAATCTGAGTACCTTGTCAAACCCACGTGCATTGTACCGGTAATGCCCACAAATCAGCTCCAGATAATCGAGACTTGGGAAGAACACCAGTCCGTTGGTCAGACCTTTCTTCAATCCACGGTTTAAACCCCAATCCTCTTCAACATGAAGACGCACTTTCCGCACGACAGCGAGCCGGGATGCCAGCGAATGGATCCAGGTCTGTCGCCCGAGTCGTTCGTCGTACCTAAATGTGTTGAGGCTGAAGGGGAGGTAGCGGGTTTCCTCGTAGATCTGGCGGCTTACGAAAAGTAAGGAGAATGTATGTGTTTGTTTACCCGGATGACGCATGCGGTCGTTTTCGATACCGGGGCCGTATGCATCGTTGTCGGGATGAACAGGGCGGATGTGCGTGACGCAGGGTCGGGGGATCTGGTAGTATTTTGGAGGTGTACGGTCTTTGAGGTGGATTGATCGGTGGCCGAATAGGATGTCGTAAATGCGATTTCTGAGTTCGGCGGGGAGACGGAGGAAGGGGGAGGTTTGTTGGTTTTGTGTTGTGCTATGATGTGTTGGTGGATACTGTCGGTGCAATTCGAGTCTCTTTCTCTATCCGAGCCGAGGATTGTTATCGAGGCTATACCTACATCTCCAGCGTCTCGTCCCGGGGTGTGGTGTCCAGTAACCCATCGTCTAGTAGGCGTAAAGAGTTGACGGTATGTTTTTCAGGGTTGCGATATGTGTTTCCAATGTCAGATTCATCGAAAAGCTTTCTGATGTACTTCAGGGCATTCATGGTCGATATTGAAGATTACCAGGGCATGCGATTTGGTTGAGTAGTTCAATCGGGGCTGGTGTAGTCGTTCGAGGGTATTGGAATCACTGCAAGAGACAGTAGCTGAAGATCCATACCGTGGAAGCAGTGGCAGCGATTGTCCGGATCACGCAATCACATGTATGTTGCCTATGAGCTGCACGGTCACTTACAGCCACGAAATGCGTTACCTTCATTGATTCAGGTCAAGGGTTCCGGTAGACAGATATGCAGGGCTAGGCAGTGGCTTTGAAGAAGGGAGAGAAACGGTGCACATCGCCGAAAGGAACCACAGTAGGTTATTTATCCAGCATTGCGTACCAATGGTGCATGTCACACCGCGTTCGATTCGTAATTTGATCCCCACCTCTTCTTCTAGTATTCGCGATTTAGGAAGTACTGTTCCAGGCTGTAATACTTGGTACCTTCTGTTCCTGTTGCTTTCTCGAGCTCTGCCATGCATGCTTCTTTCTGATAGACTTCCAGATTAGGCCATCCATGTTTGTGATATATGGACTGTAAAAACTCTGCAAAACCTTCAGGAATTCGGTCGTGGTCAGTGTATCGCTTCGTCCAGATTTGAACGACGCGATTGTTGCTATGTGGGATGAAGTTCAGCTTGATATAGTGGTTCTTCAACATGGCGAAGAAGTGGCGGACCGGCCAGCAGGGTCCCCACTCCACGTCCATCGAGTCATCGTCGTCATCATCGTCGTCCTCGAAATCAACAGACCCATCGTTCTCGTCGTCACTACCGTCGTCACTACCGTCGTCAGATGTCGGAGGTGTTTCGTTTTCGCTGTTGTCGTCTGAAGCTTCGACATCATCCTCTTCCTCCTGTACAACAACGACGCTTTTATCTTGTTCCTCTTTTACTTCCCCCTCCAAAGGATACACCAGACGTGATGGCTGAGGATCGCACGCCTTGATAATCTCCTCCGGGCAGTCCATCCAATGTACCAGCCCAGTTCTGACGTCCAACAGCATCACATATTCGCTGATGTTGAGAGCGTACGTAAGACCGATGCAGTATTTGGGAATTATGCCGCCGAACTGGTCTTCATGGCTCTCCGTCTCGATTAGTAGATCTTCTCTCTCTGCGTCCTCCTGCTCCTTCAGCTCGTCCACTGCCTTCGTCCAGGCGTGAAACCGGGTGCCTGGCAAACAGTGCGGCCGTGCTGTGCAAGGCTGGTCATCAGGAAATGGCAGATGGCGTAGCAGATTGATGATTTCTGGATCCTTGCCTAGACGATCCGCGACTTCGGGAGTCATGTTGGGCCAACCGCTGGGAGGTGGGTAGATGATGGACGAGGGCACATCCATGAACATCTTTCCCAAGAAGTCGTAGAAGTCGCGGATGGCGGCGATACACTCATCGCGCGAGTAGATTGGCTCCATGGTGATGGATGGGACTTGAGTGGCAGTAATCGAGTTAGTTGACAAGAGAAGTCAGACTACTACATGTACAGTATGCAGCCGTGCCGCTTCTGTGCAGATGCCAAGCGCGTTTAAATTATCACGGGCGTGCCTCATACAAGAAAGAACTGAGCAGGTCTAGAGCCTACATCGACCTCAGGTCACCTAATTTACATGTGTTTATGTTGATGTAGTCTGCACAACCGTTCAAGCTTTTCCCAAGTTGACGTGAGTGGACGCAGGCCGCACGAGCAACTTCGCGTGTGGCCTCTGGACTCTGGACGACATACATGACTGCACAGCATCTTTCTAGAAGGGCAGATATGAAGTTCATCTGGATACAAGGAAGGATCGAAGTATTGACACGATGTGCTTTATACGTCCGCAGCCAACAAACACATAGTCATCTGCTGACTGAAAGTGCGTTTTGGGCAACGTGAGTAGGTCCAGCTTGTGCTCAGCTTTCATGCATACCTTCTGCTCATGTTTTGTGATCCTCTGGTGAGTGGGAGAAGAGATCCAGGTAGTAGTATCCTGTTATTTTGAATCCAACCGCTGCTTTTTATGATGCGGATGCAGTAGCCTTCAGGACCAACTGCAAAGCCAGAAACATTTTCCTGCTCCTACGTCTTTTCAATCTCCAGACATCAGTCCAGGTTCCGAGGTTTTTTGATAACAGATTTTGCGGAGGAGTGAATGGAAGGAAGGACGGACGCACGAGGCCGACGGCTTTTATTAATCCTAAGGGAAACTCGACAGCTCCATGTCTCCTGAATCTGTACTTTTGGGACAGCAGAGGAAAGACTCATGGCAAGAGCGGGGGTTTGCTCTTGATTCAAGCGAGCCGAGCATTGATCGACCTGGGTTTTGGAGGCAGAGGTGCAAAGATGCACATGGCCCAACTTGCGGAAAGCTTTGAAGAAACACATGGATCTCCCCGGGTATATTTTTGGAAGTAAAGCCCCAGAGAAGGTAGTTGGAAGGAAGAAGCTCCAGACCAACAGCTGTAGGTTTTATACTCTCGCGAGGCCCAGAAAATCGAGCCAGACAGCATGAAGTCCTGGTGCGGTAGTTTCTGACAAAAGGACGGCAAACAGATAGTAATAGCTATACGTATCTTTCTAACCAGGAGGACAAACATGTTGGGTTCGGTTGCCCGTTTCGAGGAAACGAGCAAAGCCAACATGAACATAGTCAGCGGCTTTTTAGAACACAAAGAGAACAAAGTCATGAACCAAGGCTTTGTTGTTTTGGCAGCATGAACCAAGGTTTTGTTGATTTCGGGAAAGGAGAAACAGGTCATTGCAGATGACCTTGGAATTTTTGGTAACACTCAGCAGGCAAGTCGACAAGACATAGGGCGAATCGGTATATCTTTGGAGTTTCGCTGCACAAGTGCAGCCATGAACATATCTTCCAGGTATCTTTGGACTTTTCGAAGAATGGACCGACGCAGTCATGGAGTCGAAACTTGTCTTTTTGAATCGAGCAAAGAGGGCAGCCAGCGAGACACACATGTGTTGTTTTATCTCAGTTTTTGAGAAGTAGAAGATTTTTTAGTAGTTGTTGAGAGAAGGAAGGAGAGCAAGATGCGAGTTAAAGAGCGGGTTATATAGTGCAGAGCTGTTAGCGCGCGGTCCCAACACGCTGCAAAAACAAAGGTTACGCGGAGTAATGATGATGGAGATGGAATAGTGATGATAGTCATTATTATAGGATATCTTCCAGTCTACGTACCCACTCGCGAAGTCGCAGCTCATAGCTCATCTCTCTTCCGCCTTTGTCCACTTCCTTCCTGCTGTGCCGGTGTTTCCTGCGCCTGCGCCTCATCACGCTTCGCACTTTCCACGTCCTCCTCCCACATCTTCTTCTTTGGATTTCTCGGCTTATCGCTCTCTTGCAATACAGTACCGTCACCTAGTGTGACCGGGCCCTCGTCTTCATCCTTCCTCGGTTGTCTGAACTGAGGGTGATCAGGCACCTCTTCCTGCTGCTGCTGTTGATTTTGTTCCGCCATCTTGCCGACTTGCTGCGAGTATGAGCCTTGAGGACTAGGATCCTGACCTTGTCGATTTACTCCGCCTCCGCGACCGACAGGTATGTAGTGTCCTTGGGCGTTGGGTTCGCGTCGGGGTATGCCACCCGTTGCGCTAGGCTGAACGATAAGGGTTCTTGAGGACGAGGATACCGCGACGCTCGAGGATGCGGCTGAGGATGCGGCACCGAAGGGTAGGACGGCGAAAAGGATGCGAAAAGTAAGTTTGACTGGCCAGATGATGAACCAGGTGAGCGGTCCGTACAACCAGCGGCGGAAAACGAGCCAGATGATAGTTGTTATGAGGATATAGAAGGTGGTCTCAAGATACCACGTGTCGCTCTTTGTGCTCTTCAGTAACGTCGAGACCAAGTTCTTGCTGTTAGCTAGTAGGGTGTT